AATAAAAATATAATTATAATATAGTAATAAAAATTCCATGTTGAGTTTTTTTATTTGATCCACTGATTTAACTTAAAATAGTGTAACGTATATTTCACCAAAATGTTATATCTTAAAAATTTGAGCTCCTAGGCAAAAACTAATGCCATATTTGAATTCAGGGCATCAAATTCATATGAAATCAGCTCCAAATACCCCGGCACCAAAACAGCTGTTGGCATTTAATGGTAGAACTTGAGTGATAATTATCACTCAAGTTCTACCATTAAATGCTTAAATTTTTAAATATTTTCATCTACCCTAAAAAAAATCAATTTTATAAATAAAAAAATGATTTTACAGTGCCATGGCAATCATAACTGATCCCTACAAATCCGTATGTATAGTTGTGGCAACACATAAATAAAAACGCTCACTTAAAAGCGTGGGTGGTTAAAAGTTACCCACATTTCTCTGTAATTTTCTTAACCGTGTCCGGCGCACAAGTCCTGCAATCCGGGCGGAATTACGACATCGCACCGCTTGCCACCAATTTGTTGTGTCCTGATAGGGATCAGTGGCTGTACTCACCCCCTATCGGACGTCCGTGGATATCTTTCAACCTATGCAGTGGAAAACATGCTTGTATAAGGGGTCCCACAAAAACTCGGATTAATCAAAACAATAAATGTATAATGAAACAAAACACTATTACATCAAACAAGCTATCAACACACACACAAACTTCGACTACATCCGTTTTTCACTTCCTACAAATTAACTGCCCATAATATACTAACTCTAAATGGCACAAACCAACACTTTATATTTCTTTCACAAAACCCCACTGAACCAGAATCTCTAACAAACTAACAATGAACAAGTGACCCGGCCATGGGCAAGTACTCACTAATGCGGAACACAATGAAACTGACGAACAATGGCGCCATCACAACTCCTTCCCACAGGCACACTTTGCTCTAGTCCATCTGTTATGAGCAACTGCTAGAAACAGAATGCCCCAAACAGCTTTTTTTTTTCCTCCCAATTCCAAAACTCAGTTTTCTCAAGTCACATAAAGCTGCTCGCACAAAACCCCTAGGTTCAGCAACTTGCTGGAACAATTTTCTGTCATGCTAGCGAAACTTGACCAGGTCATTCCACTGAAGCGTAAACAGTCTTTATTAAATACAGCGCAATCGAGTGACAAGGAATACGAGGCGTCAGCTGCGGTTCTGTCTCCTTGCCTTCCTGTCAGCCGTCTGGAGTTCAACCTAGGTATCCAATCTTACAGAAATCATACTTAATATCTAATAAAATGGGCACAACAATAAACAAAGCTCATGAATTTATAACATTAATGTCATGAAAATATACATCCTATCATTTTCACCGATCCCCCATTCTGATTACTGATAACTATCAATTGCATTAGTTTCTTTTTGTGGTTTAACCTCAACAGAATTCAGAAATCTCTTCCTTTTGCACTGAGTTATTCTAGCAGTGTGGGTAGCAAGTGGTGTGTGTCCAAAGATTACATTACCAATCCTATTTAGGCACATCATGGGCAGTCTCATAAGATAAACTGTGTATGGAGTGGAAAGCATAAGGTCAAGTCTTTGATCTGACCCCAGTCCAGCCAACACCAATTCTCAACACAGTCGCTAGTATGACACATCTAGCATACTTATCACACACAGTTCTGTTGTAAAAGCTGTGGCACACATTTCCCAATAATTACCAATGGGAAAAAAATGTTAACATGACTAAGTAATTGCTTGGGAATATATACAGAACTGGATGTATGAAGGCAGTTTCACAATTTCTTATATAGACCAATAAATTATTATTTACTTTAACTGCAAATGGGCTTTTACCTGGTGACAGTGGTACACAAAACACAGAAAGAACACCATGCTCAAACAAACACAGCACACAAAACTACACAAACAATAAAGGATACACTACATACAATAAATACAATGATAAAAATTACTTCTTAGTTAATAATCCAGTCTCTATTAGAGGCCAGAAGCTTAAAAACATATTACATACAGAATTTATTGTGATACATTACAAAACTGAGCATTCAAATCTATAAAGCTCTGGCAGAGAGAATGCACAAATTAATTTAATTGCTGTACATTAAAGGTTAAAGCAAATAAATTGTTTACAAGAACTCACCACCACAGCAGGTGCTCAAAATGTCTCCCTTCTGCTCTTAAACAAACTTAACATCTTTTGAAAACACTGAAATTAGTGTCAGTTCACTTACCTTAACAAATGTATTTTTTTTTCACAATCCTTGTGCACGAGTTCATTCAACATGTGGGGAATTATTTGAATGCACTTTGTTTTTTTTTTTGTTTCCCCACAGATAAAAATCTCAGGGATTTAAGTCTGGGGAACTAACAGGGCACAGTCTGCCACTTGCCACTCTGTCTTCAAACAGCCCATTTAAAATATTAATGGAATAACTACGAGTGTGTTATAGCACCAACTTGCATAAAATAACCACATTTCTTCTGTAATGCTGTGAGGGATGAATGCCACTCTACACTATTGTGGTGAAACCTGCACCTGTTGAGCTAGTTATGCCAGGGATTTGAGAGGTGAATGTTCTAATCTGGATCCAATTTCATCCTGCTTTTCCTCAACATAGCATTCTGTCTAGTGTACTCATATTTCTTGATCAAGGACTGAAGTGAATCTGTTGAAACAATATGGATCCTCCTAATTGTGTGACACTGCCACAACACACTCCAGTCATCTGATTGTGAAAGGGCACTTCAAAAGTCTGTTTTGGATACTGCTCCAGTACCTGCTGTTGTGAGCACTGAAATACCCATCTAGATGGAATCAAGCATCATCAGCAAAAAAGGTAATTTTTGGTTATAGAACGATTACAAAAATGTGTTCCTCTCATAATTTGCATCTGTAATTGCTTGATAAAAGGTAAGGTAAAGTTGTCTCTGTGCTTAACTAATTAAGCACTATGCCATGAAGGCGTACGGAGAAAAGGATGTATAGATCTACATTTTCTTGACCTTGGCACTAGCTGAAGGTGAGTGGTCAGCTTCACGCCATGGCTGCAATACCCCCAGGGAAAGACACCCTGGTATCCACTGGATAGGAGGTTGGGTGACTATCCTGGCTCCTAGCAATTGCTTGAACACATTTAATTTTTTATGGCAGTAGGTATAACTTTGTAGTTGCTCACTACACTGTTGTGGTCAAAATCTGCGCTTGTTGAGCTAGTTATGCCAGGGATTTGAAGGGTGAATGTTCTAATCTGGATCCAATTTCATCCTGCTTTTCCTCGACATAGCATTCTATGCAGTGTACTGAGCCATGCATTGGCATTGGCTCCGGTATGATGTCATGGGCTTCCAGCCCCGTGATCGAGATTTTTAAACTTATCCCCCACCCCATCCCCATGCGGGACTGGGTCACGTGGTGTTGCCCTCTCTCCTCCCTTCTACCCCTGGGGGCCTTGCTTGGAAGTTAATGCAAGTTCAGAAGTACAGTACTGGTTATGGATCCATAGGGTGCTCGCAACGCTGAGCCAGCTAGTAAGTGATTGTCAAATTTCCATCTGGCAGGGAGTCTAAATTTGGTTTCGGTATGTGGGAGCTGGTTCGCGGCCGGCAAGATTGCCCGTGGTCGCCCGTCGTCGGGGTTGTGCACGGCGGCGACTTGCACCAGTTTGGGTTAAACATGTGTTGAATATATATTGTGTATTTGTTTTCGGTTCAGCCTGTGGCCAGGTGACTTGCACCAGTTTGGGTTAAACTTCTGTTTTAAATATATATATTGTCACGTGTCTTGAGTGTATAACGCGACAAATAACTTCACGCCGTATTTCATATAGCGAATTTTATTTCACATTCGCACTTACAATCACCCAAATTACAGATTCACAATTACTGCTATCTGCAGTATCACAAATACTACACTCCAAATGCCACAATACAACTGACTGGTTGCTGGCTAACTCGGAACTAACTCGGAGGTAGCTCGAGGACTAACTGTGAATAGCCTTCGCTGCTCCTCATGTAGCCTCGATCGGACAATACAGAAAACGGCCACGTAATAAGCACCCTTGTTGCCTGGCGCTGTGTTGCTAGCAACGCTAGCGGTAGTAACCGCTGTTACTACCGTCGTCTCTCGCAATCCTGTTTACCCACGCTGCCTAGCAACCCGTGATATCCCTTGGTGACATCACCGCTGTTGACTCGCATTGCATAGCTACCAGGATGCTAGGACTCGGCTAACTTCGGCTCACTTCGNGGGGGGGGGGGGTCATCCATAGCTCAACATGTCAAAATATATTATTTGCTTTGATTCAGCCTGGCCAGGCTAGAAAGGCAGTAATTGGGTTTATTAAATTTTGTTATGTTTTTACTTGATGCCCATCATTGTAACTAGACTTGCCCCGCTGCTAGCTTGGATCCCTTACTCTAACATAGGGAGCGTGTGAGCACAGCACGAGAGCCGTATGATGGAGCACCGTTTCCCCTACCCCCGATTGAGGAAGGGTAGACGGAGCCGAAAGGTGCCAGAGTGACGGTGCTGTGGTAGCAGAGAGTAGACGGCACAGTACTCATATTTCTTGATCAAGGACTGAAGTGAATGCACTGTCTTCACAAATTCAAAAATAGAAAATGGAGCTAAAACTCTATCACTTGGACATCATACATAAAAACCAATTGTTTAAGCATATATTTCATCATTTCAATTCACTACCATAAATGAAGCAAAACAGATTTCTGAATGTCATATGAACAGGAACATGAGGGACACTGATATGTACTGCAGCAAGTCATTTGGAGGTGTAGCCACAGAGCTACAGGAGATAACTGCACAATGATACAGCCAACAGTCATTTTATCACTGAAAGCACCTTCACCTTCAGTTGCTCATTTTTATTACAGCTGGGGAAGCCAGGTCTGACTGTTCAAGATGACACTGTATTACTGTGTTAAGAAGTTTAAAGAAGTAATAAAACTTGTTACAGCATTTCTCTTGTATTTATTTATGAAAAACAATGAGTTATATGATGTAAATTTCCTTATAAAACTAAGCCTTTTCCTTGTTACATATGATGAAAAACTCAGAATATGTGATTCAAAATAATCTTTCTGTAACAGACAAGTCTTCCATATTTTTTCACCAATATAACTGTTAAAGGAATTCAGTTACCATACGGCACAGAATTACCAATGCCAGCCATTTCCTTTATTTCTGTTATCAGTCTGGCGTTGTGCTCTTGCATAGTGCCAAGAGATCTTGCCTCTGTCACTGTCACTTTCAGTCGATTCTCTTCCTGAAAAATACATCATTATGAAACATTTTACAGAATCATACTATGCTCAGCAGCATACAAGGTATGGTTTATTTTACTTGCAACTTGGAAATGTAATAACAGATAGCAGAATGCACTGAAACCTCCATTTTTGTACATTTAGGAAGCAGTGGATTGGAGCAATAAAAGAGGAACTGCAACACTGGGATTACTGACTTAGCATCATTGAAACTGAATACTAAATGAAGGAAAACCTTAAAATTGAGGAACAATAAATGGAGGTTCCACTGCATCTACTGCATTTATATTATAGTTTGAATTCCTCGTCCAGAGCTGTACAAAAAATTCATCATGTGACATGTGCTTTCTAATGATATAAATTGAAGTCAATGCATATAGCACGAAGGGGAAGTGGAGAAAAACTCCACACACCAAGGCACAAGATGGAGCTGAGTGGTCAACACTACATCCTGGCGAGTTTACTGACTGCCCCACCACAGATGTAATATAAACAATCAGTTTTTTTTTTTCTTTTTTCGCAATGTAGGTATCTTCTGTATATTTGACTTGGTTCATCCTGGTCTGTCACACTAGCAATGCTATAAAAGATCATCAACGCTGTCCAGTGTGATTGATAAATGTTTTTTTCCTTCAATAATTCATCCTTTACATGTTTCAGTTGGAGCGACGATCTTCAGAAGGACATATCAATATGTGTGGAAACCTCTATTACAATGTCACTGGTTACTACAAATATACACAGATACCATTACAATGTAATGAATGTAAAATATTAGCTTTTAACATTTACAGTGATGTGCATGAATTTATTAAAACATTTATAAACCATTACAACTAGTCTATTTACAGTATGATTTAAAGAACTTGTTTAAATCTAGAACCAATTTGGTTTTTGTCCTTTATATTGCTTCTCTTTAAGGGAAGATTAGTGTCTACCATGTCATAGTTCCGTTGCTTAAAGAATAGGACTCTTTTGTGTCATCCGATTGTTCGGGCCATATAAACCAAATTGGTTCCAGATTTTAACAACATATTTAAACCATACTGTAAATAGACTAGATGTAGTGATTTATAAATGGTTTCATAAATTCATGCACATCGCTGTAATTGTTAAAAGCTAATATTTTATATTCATGACACTGTAATGGTGATTCCTGTGTGTACTGGTAGTAACCAGTGACACTGTAATAGCGGTTTCCAAATGTATTAATGTTTTTCTGAAGATGGTCACTCTGACTGAAACACGTAAATGAATTATTGAATGAAAAAAACATTTATCAACCACAATGGATGGCAGTGATGATCTTTTATAATCTTCTGTATACTTTTATTCACTTCACTATATACCTGTGCAATGACTGATTTTTAAACACGACTTATTTTCACTTGCAAACGTATGTAACAAGCACATGTTGCTACATTTTATCATCACTCTTTCAATATAAGACCTTCTGAGATCCATCATGGATATTACAAAACAGAATCCTGCATCACTTCAGGTCTTCCCAAACTTATCTCCTCTTCTGGCTGATATTTTAGGATCTGGCTTGTAATTCTCCCCAAGTGTTCCTCCCAGCTTATTCTGTGCAAAGTATCCTCAATGTACACAAGTAGAAGACTCCCCCAAAATGATACAGAGTCATAAGTTTATGAGAAGTGCTTGGGAGTTCAGAACTTTCTGCCACAATGTTATCATCTTAAGAATTAAAATATTTCATGGATAAGTGTTAACTATTTTGTAAATAAATACAGCAGTAACGCAGAACTGGGAAAACCATGTTTGGTGTTATCATGTTAAACCTGTTTACGAATGAAGAAAACAGCTAGCCACTGCTGTCCAAGGAAGTCTTAAAATATCTGGATTTAGAAATCATAAATTGTGACCTTGCACACGTTTTTGTTCCCCTGTGTAGCATCAAAGCAAAATGAATGCCCAGGAATACTGACATTCTGGACTTTGTCTATCATCTGGTATTCTAAGAACACAATTTTTCAGAAACTGGAACACTTTTTGTCATCAAAAAGAGTTGGAGACCTACTACTTAGAATACCAAATGATAAAGTATGAAAATTCTGTAATCCTGTGTGTTACACACAATCATCAGAATCCTTTACAATGAACTGAATGCCATTCTTACTTACCTGGTAGTTCTCCATCTTGGCCCGAAGCCTGAAAATGTAGGTCTTAAATGCTGCCTTGTGGAACACTTCTTGGAACTGCCTGTCATCGTGGAACAGGTCTCCCAAATCCTGGGCTTTTACACCCAACAGTATTTCAGCTGTGTCTTGGAAACAAGTGGCCCACTGATTACCTGAAAAGTCTCCCAAACTCACCTGTTCACACAGAAACCAACAGTGTTAATGTAAAATCCTGGATGGTAATGGTTAACTGACAGTACATGAAAATTTAAAACTGAAAGCATACTGCAAAATTAAAAAAAAAAAATATATATTGTGTTGATTATCTGAAATGTAACAACTGTATGCTCATTTGTAGGATGTGAGGTTCTCACAGTGGTGGTAATGAAGAGTTCTACCTTCTGGGACATAATGTTCTGTAGTCTTTTCAAAGTCAACTGATGTTTCAGGGGAACATGTGCCCCCCCCCCAAATTCAGTGTCGAAGAATAAGCAAAGCAAGAAACCAGCATGAAAGCAGGTGGCAAGCAAAACCGAACTCCTCAATGTCAGTTGACTTTCGGCGGATTGCACAGTGATATATCCCAGAAGACAGAACTCTTTATATCCACACTTGTCAATTTTGGTCAAAACTGGGAATATTTATGGCATTTTTCAATCTGAGTTGAATTTTCAACATCAGTCACACCACTACTTAAGTCTGATATCTGGTATGCCAGTTCAACTATGGAGTCAGGAAATGATAATGGTGAATTCCTTTGTGCCCGTGCCTTGGAGGCATCTGGGTTAACAGCAAACCTTATGTTCCTGGCAATGCTACACAATATGTAGGATGGTTCTGCCAAACTTCATGGGTATGTTAAATGATTCTGAGTAAAATGAGTCCTGTTAATGTGGGCTTAATTAGAAGCATTTTGAGTTAAGGCAGTTTGAAAGTAAGATGAAAAATTCCAGAATTAAGGGGTTTTAATGAAAATTTTCATAAGTCGAGTGGCTTGAAACCACAGTTTGGCACAGTATGGGACTGCAGTGGTTATAGCCTCAAGAATGTGGGTTTTTCAAATTTCATCTGCAGTCTCCAAAATTCTTTGAAGGAGTGTATTTCTGTTCTTTGTGCATATGCTAGCTGCTTCATGAGACCCCCAAGATAATAAACTCTGGGGTTCAAACCGAGGAATGCTGCTGGCCAGATATGTAATTCTTTTCTGGCCAATTCAACAATCTGAATTGTTCTGATGAGGATATTTAAACAATTGTTACTGAAAATGTCGGAGAGGGGGGTTCAATCATGTTGTAGATACATGCGCCCTGGCATCAAAAGTGAATGTCTTCTAAACGTGGGTCAGTTCATTTTGTGAACAGGCAAGGTAAGACACCCTGAGAGAAGGCCCAACAAACTGATTTTTTTTTTAAGTTGCTTGATTAATGAACTTCAGAGTTTCTTTCACACTCCTTCTGAATTGTCCTGTGTACAGGTCAGAATGTGCAGACAAAATGGCTGTGAGAGGAAACATACATAGGAGGACGCAGTAATAGAACTGATCCAGCAAGGCATGCAAAGACTGCGGACACCACTGAATAGCATATGCTTCAGAATGTCTTAAATAACATACTTACAGAAAGCAGCAGCCTATATTTGAAGTTAGGGTATTCACGGTTGCACTTTTCACACCGGTACATACCATTGTTCTGGTCAATGACCTGCAACCACAGCAGAACATAACAATTTACTATGGTCTCACCTGACATATAGGAAAAGAGCCTCTGAAATACAATACTCAAATTCAGTATATGACATCATGTCCCCTGAAAATGAAGTAAGCCATGCCTTCCAGCATCATAACCAGAGAAAGCCACATCCAGCCAATATTCACTGTGTAGAGCACAAAAGTTCTCTATATTCCACCCTTCCCCATGTAAAATGTCATATTCTTCCAGAAGCTTCAACCTGTGTTGCTATTACCAGCTGCTCAATGCAGTGACATGTCAGAAAGAATTCGAAAGCTTCTGCAATTATTAACTGTAACACCTACCTTCCCACATACATCTAAAAATGCAGAGATCAAAATATCCAGAGCTACAATATCGCCAGTTTTCGTGTTTGGGCATGACACTTATTTTCTTATATCAAGGGAAGAACACATAGCATTTACTTGAATAATTTACCACTATTTTTAAACAAGACGGAACAGAGACGTATGAATTTTTAGTATAAAAAAGGGGAAGACACATATTATGTGGGTTCATACAGTAAATTAAGAGGGTTTGAGAGCAGGGAGCTGAGAGGAATACGTGGACGTAAAACCAGGAAGTAACAGGAGACTGGAGAAAATTATATAATTAAAAACTGCATAAATATTTTACATTTTTCAATAATTACTGTTAGGGAGAGCAATTCAAGAGTGAACTGGGAGAGGGATGTGCAACATGCATGGGAAAGACGTGAAATGCATACAGAGTTCTGGCTGGAAAAACAGAAGGGAAGCAATCATTTGGAGACTCAAGAGCGGATAATATTGTAACGTGATGGGTATATCACACGACAAATAACTTCATGACGTACTGGATATAGCAAATTTATCGAACACTCGCTCTCACACTTATACAATTCACAATTTGGAAACTACTGCCATCAGCAGTATCACAAATACTTCTTCTGATGTAGTCCTTTCCATTCACTCGATACAACTCAATAACAATGGCCTTCAACTCACTCCAGCGAATGCTAGACTGCAACTGACTTCGGCGACTTCACGATCCAAAGTGTCACTCCTAATCACACACTCTCGTCACATACTGCTCAGCCGGCTTTTTATACTATTCCCTGTTGCTTGTGTCAATAGCAGTATCCTCTGTTACGTCACAGTGGGAAGTGCTGTTACGTCACTGCGGGGGAGGAGGTGAAGTGTTGACTGGCCTGTTACTGTAGCAGCGGCAGTTACTCCGATGCTGTTACGTCACTACTGCTGGAGGGGGGGGCGTGTCCTGCATAGCGCAACTACGCCGCACTGTTCCCTTCTAAAGGTTGTTTGTCCCGAACAGCCTAATGGTGCATCCCCGTTCCTTTTTTCCCCAAGGCTGTGCTTGCTGCCTCTCCTGTTGTTTCAGTTGCTCCTCTTGCAGTGACTATTCTATGGCCGTTACAACCGCTCCCTTCTTAAGCCTGTTCGTCCCGAACAATTCCATGGTCCAGCGTTCGTCAATCCGTTGTATCACATTCACTCCTCACTACCATCCATCGCACATTCGTTCTCACTGGGGAGGCCAGTGTTTCTGTTTTACCGGTTCCTCCTCTGCTTGCTCTGCTTCGTTTTCCGTTTTGGAGGGGGCCTACCCCTCCACAAGGTATATTTTCTTATTTTTCATAACCCGTTGGAAGTACCAACTACTTGTTTCGTGATCTTTCCTCTGAAAATCACATTGACGGTCTTCTTGCTCGTTTCTCCACTTTCCAGGTGTGATCGCTGTTCTGATCCACACCCTTTGATGTAGTTCACGGTTTCCTTCTTCTTTCTCATGTACAGCGGCCACACTTGCAGCCTCAGTCCTTCATTCCTCTTTTTCCTTCCTGGTGCGTCCATAAATGTTTCCTGAGCAGCCCTACTCTCTGGGTTGCTTGCTCAATCATGGCCACGGTGCAGTTCCTCCCAATGACATTTTCCTTCTGCTGTGCCACTTTTGCACAGTGGCTTGTCCCTCTGTGGGTGACAGCCAATCTCTTCTGGGATTCACTCTTTTCCCGTGTCTTATCCTTCGGTTTCTGGCGGCAGCGCTCCATGGCCAGTTTTCCATCCCTATGCCTTTACTTCTTTGGTTCTCTGACTGGCATTACTGTGGTGTCTTCTATGGGGACCTCTTGTTGTTGTGCCACCTCAGGTTTCCTGCCCATTGAGGTCAGCTCTTTTTCTTCTAGACATGCCTCCATCTCTTCGCAGGCCATCGTCTCTTTTCTGGTATTCATTGTCTCAAACATCACTGAGCGGATTTCTTCTCACCAGGCTCTCATTCCGTTGCAATTTTTCTTGGCCGATTCTCCACTCCTCTCAGTCAGCCTCCATTATGGCCTCTGCTTTTACTTGGCCAGCTCTGATTTCCTTCAGCAGAAGTTCCAACGTCTGCTCTGACTCCATGTCTTTTCCGTGTGGTTTTGCGTGTGTGAGTTCGTAAACCACTTCTGACACCAAATTGTCAAGTGTTGGGTATATCACACGACAAATAACTTCACGCCATATTGGATATAGCAAATTTATTGAACACTCGCTCTCACACTTATACAATTCATAATTTCCCAACTACTGCCACCGGCAGTATCACAAATACTTCTTCTGATGTAGTCCTTTCCATTCACTCGATAGAACTCAATAACAATGGACTTCAACTCACTCCGGCAAGTGCTAGACTGCAACTGACTTCGGTGACTTCACGATCCACACTGTGTCACTCCTAATCACACACTCTCGTCACATACTGCTCAGCCGGTTTTTTATACCGTTCCCTGTTGCCCGTGTCAACAGCGGTATCCCCTGTTACATCACAGTGGGAAGTGCTGTTATGTCACTGTGGAGGAGGGGGGCAGTGTTGACTGGCCTGTTACCGTAGCAACGGCAGCTGCTCCAATGCTGTTACGTCACCGCTGGAAGGGGGGTGTCCTGCACAGCGCAAATATGTCACAATATTAAGATAATCTTATGGAAAAAGGGCTGAGGATGTGACCTATGGTAAAATTTTGTGACTATCTGGAGGGGGGGGGGGCAGGACCCCTTGGATACCATAAAGGACAAAGAAGCTGTTGACTGAATGAGCATTGATAAGGACTCTGCACCATGGAATTAGTTTTACCCTGATTCAGTTTCATTTACCAATCAAATAATGAAGTTACTAAAGGTGCTTAATCATTTTATTTTAAAATACAAAACTCATGTACAGTGAATCCTCATTTACTGAATATTTTATCTGGTCCCAGCTGCAGCTCAATGAAAACAATGCATTATTCTACTACACTTAGTGAATTTTGAATTAGTAATTAGCAAATTCACTCTGCAGTTAGTGAAAGAAATTTTTTTAAATTCCAGAACTTGTACCTTGATTTAGCATGATTCTGACAAATGGGAAAATTAATATTCATGTTCTCTCTCTCCTGAAAATCATTACAGCATAACCACAACCTATGGAGAGTAATGCCACATGCTGAACACACACTTAAGCCACATGACTTGAGGCAGCTATGATGATTCTTAACTGAGGTTCTCTCAGTGTTTATTTCACATCAATCGTTTTAGAAATCTCTGATATTACTAATTACAAAATTACATTCATTTGCATGAAAAAACTAATAACACTACTGGAAAACACAAAAAAGATAATATACATTCAATGGATACCATCACGTTGGCATCAATGGAAACGATATTGCTGATGAACTGGCAAAGAAGGGCACAAGACTGCATCGCCAAAATAAAATCTTAAGTGCCCACAGGCTAGCTAACAAAATCAAAACTAAAACAAGTAGAGAAATAATCCATACCATCAACAAAGAACCATACAACAAGAAATGGTCAGAAATAGGAAAACTTTGGGAAATTAACAGCAAGAAACCCAGAAAAGAAGCTGTTGCAAATTTTCGATTGAACACAGGACATGCCTTCCTTGCAGCACATCTTTGTAAGATAAGAATATGTTAACACAGAAGAATGTACACTGTGCAACTTGCCAGGATCATCTATGGGAAAAGAACATCTCCTTCAATGCCCTAACCTTAAGAAGGAGATGCAACGAAGCAAGAACTTAAGTGCTCTCTATTGGAAAGCAAGAAGCAAAATGGGTTAAATGATCCCAAATGCAGCCATTGGAAACCAACCAACCAACCAACCAACCAACCAACATTTATTTCACAGAAACAGTTTCTCTAACTATTTATAGTACATACAGAAACTATTCTGTCATCATTTTCAGCAATGCCCATGTGTGAATGTGCATGCCTATGCCTACTGGCCAAAAAAATGATTTGGACATTGACCTGCAGCCACATCATTGACAAGCCAGGAAAGAGCAAATCATTATTATACACTCTGATGTTTTTACAAGTCTAAATAATTGCAATTAATATCCAAGCCAGTATACACTTTTTACTTGTGCATAATCCCAATTTCATCAGAATAAGCAATGTATGAACATGTTACTTCTAATATCTTAAATAATTGTTAGCCACATGGTAGTGTACTTGGCTGAGGCACTATGCTACAAGCCAGAAGGTCACAGGTTCAAGTCCTGATGAGGTCATTGGGTTTTTTTCAGTTGACCTCATCCTTCCAGCTGCACTATGGCCCTGGGGTCAACCCAGCCTCTAATGAAATGAGTACCAAGAATTAATTCAATACTTTTCCTGGGGAGCAAAGCACAGCCGGCGCGTAAAGCTGAGAACCTTACCGCCATCTTTGAGCCGATTGTCTAGATAATGTGGGACCCTATGGGCCTTCACGACCTGGTACAGGGATAGCTTCACTTCTACTTTTTACTTTTTACACCACATGCATGACTGGCAAGTGATGTACCTTACAGCTTCAAGGTAACTACACGTACAAGCAAGTGTCCTGGCATTTCAATTTCGTATATACAAAGGGACATACAATAACCCTAATAAGAAGCTGAACAGATTCTTCATTCAATTTCATTTTGAGAATATGTCTACCTTGGATTGATTTGGTGTTTCTTGTACACCATATCAGTACCAGGTACACACAACCAGGGGAGTGGCACACTCAAAGGGGCACAGAGAAGCAGCAATACAAAGACAGAAAAAGAATGGACATTCTCAAAACACCAGAACTGAGAATGACAACATGTATTACTGACAAAAGCGGGTATAGTGCAGTAGATTCCATCAGGATGTGTTGCCTGAAGATGGTCCTGTGGGGCAGACACATATAGCTTACTTACTTACTTACTTACTCATGAAACTGAGCCCTTCTGGAGGAGTCGCCAATTCTGCACCAACTCAAGAATTTCCCAGCATTTTATGGAACCCGAAGGTTCATTACCGTGTTCACAAGAGCCCTCCACTGGTCCCTAACCTGGGCCAAATCAATTCAATCCATACCATCCCATCTTATTTCTCTAAGATCCATTTAATATTCTACACCCATCTATGCCTTAGTCTTCCCAGTGGTCTCTTTCCTTCTGGCTTTCCCACCAATAGCCTATATGCATTCCTTGTCTCCCCCATTCACGCTACATGCCCTGCTTACCTCATCCTCATTGACTTGAGCATTCTAATTATACTTGGAGAAGAGTACAAGTTATGAAACTCCTCATTATGCATTATGCAATTTTCTCCAACCTCCTATCACTTCATCTCTCTTTGGTCCAAATATTCTCCTTAACACCCTGTTCTCAAACACCCTCAGTCTATAGAATATATATTATTTACAGATGGAATTTTAGTGAGTTGACTTAAGTTTGGTGTCATATAAAACAAAGGGCGTGTTGCATTATAGATAGAAGAGAAACTGCAGGAGTAATACTTTAATGCAACAGGATGCTGAAATATAATATTAGAAATTGTGGTGTTGGCTGCTTGCTTTAATATGCTGGCTACACATATCTGCTATGGTCCTTAGGCTTTCCTGGTGGGGGCTTAATGTGTGACTTTGCTTTTCAGAGTACTCTGCATACAATGTTGAGGGTGTCAGAGCTGCCATCTTCAGCGTTATTCTTGCCCCTGTGAGGCTATGACTGCATGAATATTGAGTGGGATACTGACCAAACGGGGGGGGGGGACTACATGGTTAGTGGGAAGAGATGGGTTGCACCACCATCAGTTAGTGACATACACTGTTACATTATCATTAGCAGCTTAAGTATATTCTTTCCTAAACACAATTCTGGTAGACATGTAAAAAGGCAAAGCTATCCCTGTAACAGGCCGTGGAGGCCCATAGGGTTGTGAGACACTTAGGGTCCCACATTATCTAGACAATCGGATCACAAATGGTGGTAAGGTTATCAGTTATCAGCCTTACATCCTGGCCGCCCTTTACCCCCCCCCAGAAGATTCCAGGTACTCATTTCTGTTAAGAGGCTGAGTTGACTCCAGGGCCACAGTGTCGATGGAAGGATTAGGTCAACTGAAAAAACTCCACCTCATTGGGACTCAAACCCATGACCTTCCAGCTTGTAGCATAGTGCCTTAACCAATTACGCTACCCCGTGCCACCTGGTACTGACATGGCAGTGGGAAATTCAAACATACTTACACTCTACAGAGGGCTATTCTTCTGCAGTGTTGCCTACTTAAGGCACGACATATTCTGGTTCACAGAGTACATTGGCTTTAAAAACTGAATGCACATATGTGTGACAGCTGGTTTCACTGTGACTGGAAATGTACCAACCTTCTTATTACAGTCTTCAGTGGGACAGGCTTTGTAGAGCGAATTTTCTGATCTCACTATGAGCACGGTGGCCACACTTGTAAAGTAGTCTGGCTTGTCTCCGCAACCCAACTGGTTCTCCTGAGCTTCCTTCAGAGTCATCCAGTTGGCTGAGAAACCTTGAACCAGAAACAAGAAAATGAAGAGCTGATAATTTCAACAGAAGGTTGTGGTAAGGATTAATAATTCTCAGACCCAAAGTATAATGGTCTTCTTCTGTCACCGCCGCCGCCGCCGCAGTCCTTTATGATGATACCATGTGCTGACTACTAAACACTGCCACAGTGACTATCTTTGGAGCTTCTCTCTTATAAGAAGAGGCACATCCAGTCTCCTAGCAAGTGGCATTTGGGGGGTGGTGCAAGGAATTGGGAAAAAGTAAAAGAAAGAAACTGAGCACTTACTTCCATCTAGTACCAATTTAACAATGAGGGGAGCTTCACCTCCATACCCTACATCCTTTTATGGTGTGTGCTTCAGCACAATGGTAACTCTACATGCCTGTAACTGCAAATGGTTTGTTAATAACTCACACCTACTGCAGTTCAAAAGAACGTAATTGGAAATGCTCTGAGTATACTGCAGAGGAAACAGAAAACTGATCATCACAATCACTTCTTCACAGTTTAGGCACTTGGCTTGTTCCAGCTTTTAAGAAAAATGGTGGCTCTGCCTCATCTGTGGGCATACTAGTCTTCTCCTCTCATGACATCCATAGCTCACTGCACATTCTGCAATCCACTCCTTTCACTCTTTCAATATGGTCATGCCAATTTCTCCAGAATTTCTTAATTATGTATAACAATGAGATTATCTTAATTTCTTGTCATTATATTTGTCTGGTAGATCATACCTACCTGCTGCATTCAACCAGTTAAGTGTATATATTTCTTGTTCTTATCTCTTCTGCAGTGGGACACTAAAATTCTCTGGGCATTTCAATTTGTTACTGTGACATTTAATTTTATAGTTGTTGATCCCCTTTTAAAAGTCAATATCTCAACCATGTGCAGTTATGAAATCATGCAACAAAAAGTCTCTGAAAGACCAATTATATGTGTATTTTCATTTTGCAGACATTATATTAAAGTTTAGTTATATATATTAGTAAGCTTCTGTACTTTTGGATTTATTCACAAAAAGTATGTCTGCAAATTGCATCATCATAACTTTTGTTGTGAACAAAATGAAGAAACCCGACTAGAAGGCAAAACTTCCTCTCACTGAACAGGTCCAAAAATATAAGCATTTCCAGAATTTTTCTCCAGGCAAAATAGCTTGTTTTCCAGTTTCTACTTAAGTCGCTGTTACAGAAAGAATGGCAGCAACTTCACGGTATCATTTCTATTCGCTCCTTCGCATGACAGGCCCTAGATTTCAGATTAGGCAGGTTTTCTAAAAATTGTTGGGCACATCAATTTGTTTCTCTGGCTACTATTTCCACAATTTCTGGACTACAAACAACTCAAAATATTTCAGGGGGTTACTGAGATCTTCTAAATCAACTTATGCTAGGCTTCCTAGTAAATGGAAAACATGTTCGCTCAGCACCTGCCTTTGCCCATATGCCATGCTGCATGCTGCTGTCACTGGCATTTTCTTCTTCATCAGAGCTGACACTCTGTTCACCATATTACAAAATTTTCACATTCATTTCACTGTCACTATTGTATTCGATCTCAGAAATAACACTATATTCATTCTCTTGCAATAGTTTATATAACACCTCATCACTCACAAGCATCTTCTTACTAGGGCCTGCCATAATGTCTACTAGTAGAAACTTAAACCCTGGGCAGTTATCAAGCAATCAGCACCTTACTGTCACAATCTGAATTAACTAGAAGATCTAACAAGCATGATGTATAAATGTGCAGTGCTGACTCTCATTATATCTACAACAGTGGTACTGAAAACATGCATGATATGTACAGATGTCACACACACTTAATTGGTTAAAAAAAGAATTTCTGCTACTTGGATGTCATAAAACATTCATAGTGTAACTATTTGAATTTCTTCTAAATGTATCCATTTTGCTGTGTGAGAAACAGGCTAGGAATCAGTAATTTGGTCTCCATACTTTCAGAGAGATGATAAAAATAGATAACTTGATCAAACAGACTCACCACTGCCTGCAACTCCAGTGCGACCTGAAATGTTTTCCTGCTCTTGTGTTGCACCTACACTATCAAACCAACCACGAAGTTTATGGGCCTGTGGAGTGTCTGGATTTATTTGCAACACACTTGACTGCAGCAAGGAGACACTCTTGCCACCGCCATATTCATTGATGCGCACATTCTTGGCAGCTAAAACTGGGTTAGTGCTGCCCTCAAAATCCTCTGCTTGAGTGCCCCAGAGAGTGAGCGTAACCTGCATCACACAAACCAGTACACAATGAACTGACCAGTCTCTTGCAGCAAAGCCCGTAATGACCCAGCCATTCAAGAAATTCCCTGCCCAAAGTTTCATTACTGCCTTCATGACAGCCCAAGGCTGGTCCCTGTTCTCACTCAGAAGTCAGAACATTTTGACATACAGTAAACTTCTGCACAACACTGGTAGATATTGTAACATGTTGCGCAACGGAGAACCCCTCCCTACCCAACTGCAACGTGGCAACTCAGGCCACAAGCGCGTGGAGGTAACGTAGCGCTCCCTCCCACCCCTCCGCGGTGACGTAACACGCAACGCTACGTACCCGTAATCAACTTCCTACTGTGATGTGGCACTCATTACGCAACAGGCAAGCACTGCAGCTATATAAGTGAGCTGCACAGCAGCTACCAGTCAGTTCTACTGTAGCAGTCAGCGACTTCAGTTGTACTGAAGACATTTCCGAGTTGTACTGTGACAGCCGAGGAGAGTTATAAAGTAACAGTCGCCTAGTCAGTTAGTCCTGGAGCTACCGCCGAGTGAGTCCTCGAGCTACCTCCGAGTTAGTTCCGAGTTAGCCAGCAACTAGTCAGTTGTATTCTGGCATTTGGAGTGTACTATTTGTGATACTGCAGATAACAGTAATCGTAAATCTGTAATTTGGGTGATTGTAAGTGCGAATGTGAAATAAAATTTGCTACATCAAATACGGCGTGAAGTTATTTGTCGCGTTATACGACCAATACGTGACAATATGTTTACATCGGTTTCATTTAATAATGGTTACATGTTTCGGTCCACATTTGGGACCATCTTCAGGCAGTTTCATTAAATATGTCTCAGGTCAATGAAATATCCTAATATTGACCCATATTAGTGTTAATCATTATAATCATATAATACATGTAACTATTATGAAGTTGTAAAAATATTGTCATGGGTAGAGGATACGCATGATGAAATCACGGGTTCTAGTTTGGATGATTAGATTTATTAATTGGTTATGGATTGGTTACACGCACTCTCTCGATTACACTCAGATACAGCACCATCCAAGCATTCACAGAGTTGTCGCCTAGCAACGTGCCGATACAATCCACAACTCACATTGCGCACATGCCCCAAGGCCTCAGTGGCTCAAGAGTTCCAGCATAGAGCCAATACGCCACATTGCTCCCTCCTTAAGGCTGTTTGCCCCGAATACTCTAACAGTGCATCCCAATTCCTTTTCTTCCATTGTTTCCATGGATTCCTGCTAGCAACGTCTGCATTCGGTCTCTCCAGGTCTCTTTTGCAGTGTTTATTCTACCGCATCCACCCCCTCCTTCAAGGGTGCTCGTCCCGTTATGTTGTAAAATTCTATATTATTTTGTCATGTACTGTAGGCGGTGTTTATCATCCAGGGTTCACTGTTGTATTTTATATATTTCTGGTACTATTCACATATAATATTATTAGATTTTATTTCTGTATATGTGTTTCTTCATATATTCTTGAATGTGACATCATGACTAAATTATTTCTCTTTAGAGTGTGTTGTGTACTTCTTATTGTGTGGACAATTGTTTTTGTGTTGTACCTGTTCCTGGTTTCAATGTAGACTCATCACACCAAATTTCAGGGCCCCACATTAAGTGGCACAAGCACTGCTCCTATCACAAAAGTGTAAAACTATAAACGTCTCTAGTGGTATGCTGTTCACAACAAATTTCACGTAAACTCACTTCCTGATTCAAAAGTTATTACTGGGGACAGATAGAAACACTGTAACACCATAACCTGACTTTCTTATAAAGAACCCATGAAGTACTGAAATGAAAGCACTGAAAACTTTAATAATCATTCAAGATTCTTCACCATGGATCTGTATCTAGTTTCACGTACTACTAGATATAAACCAAATCCTGTGTTGAGGTAATCAACAGTAATGAACATACTCCCTGTGCTACAGTATCAACACAGAATCATTCAAAGTCCTATGGCCAAATTTTAGGATGTTCTTGAGGAGAATACTTGAAACAGAAAATGCAAATAAATTGCAGTTCAATTTACTACCCTTTACAAGTCATGTCTTGCCATTTTTTTTAAAGAATTTACATACTACCATACATATTCAGGATTCATGTTTACAATTTTTATTTTAGTCATAATTAATGAAAAACAAAGAGCCCAAATTATTAGTTCCTTCCAGTCAAAATTTTAAGCTACATTTAATGCAAATGTCTGATTGAGTAGTGAAGACTTGCATACATTTCTTCACAAGAAATGCTAAAAGTTACCTTCTGCAGCTTACACACACTTTAGTACGATGTCAAATGGAGACCTTGACATGAATCAGTTGTCTAGGTATGCCCCTAATTTCTGTCATAGCTACCAGGATGAGAAACAGCAGGTCATCTTAATTTTGTACTTTAGTAGCATGACTGTTTCCTCTGACACATCCCAATAAGATAAATAAAGTGTGTTCAGCTCAGGATAACATGGAGGCTGGATGTTCAGACACCCATGGTTGATTCACATGTCCAAAAATTGTTGCCCAACAAATTAATCACCATATCAACAAAGATGGGAGGGATGCCATCATGCTGAAATCACATTCCTTTTTGAGCTTATCAGTTGCTTCTTGCTTGATTACTCAACAATAATGATGGAGACAATATGGTCCCACAAAATGAAATGTCAGTGAAGTTCTACTGGACTGCATGGCATTACAACCCAGAAGAAAGTAATCTTCAGTCACTGCTGTGAGAAGCCCAATTCCAATATTTTTTATTACGTTTTTCTAATAAAATTCCATGTGCATTCCTCCTTTCCCTCATCCAAGCTACATGCCCAGACAATCTCAACCTCCAAGAGTTCGGTACCCTATCAGTGTTAGATGCTGAATATCATAAATTTCCTTATTGCATGATATGTAGAAAAGTTGCAAATGAAAAATCTGCCACCCTCCATAAAACAATATTGGTTTGCACATTCTCAAGTAGCTAGTTTACTTACACCTGTGTTTGACTGATCTACAATCATCACTTCCCGTTTCTTCAGTTCCTTGTTAGTGTTCCTGGAAATTAAGGTCTGAACTTCACCAGAACTCTTGCAGACACCAATGACATCTGAAACAGCAGAAGCTGAGTTTCATGCAGAGCACTGTCAATTCTGTATATAAACTACAGTGAAAAAAAACTGCTTCATTTCACTGGGAATGATCTATTATGGATAAATTCTTAAATTGCAAATGTGAATAAAATCCATCCGGCTGTTCTAGCACTTTTCGGAATGCACATGCATATATATATATATATATATANTAGAGAGAGAGAGAGAGAGAGAGAGGGAGGGAGAGATGTTCCAAAAAGGTGCCCTAAAAAGCGTAAATCTGTCAATATCTCAAGATCAACTTTTCATGACTGCAACAATTTTTCATATGTATTACATAAATGTTAAAGGACTTAAAAATGTAGGGACTGGAGATGTCAAAATCTGAAAGAGTGCTGCTAACTCTTTATTTATAACCTCATTCCTATCAGTTAATAAACATGACACTTTGGTAAAGAAAATACTGTAATACTGCAGTATATTAATAAAGAAGGTGCTGAGATGCTTGTGATGGTACATTAACCTGTGTAGGAAAGTTACAATGTCGGAAGCCTTCCAACAGAGCACAGAAAAGTGCTCTGACATTGTACTCAAAATGGTCAGGCCTTCAGCCTGCCATGTGTTCATGAGTTTGAAATTAGTGATGTTGTAAATTAAGTTTTGGATGACATTATGGGGCAGGACAGTTTAGGTGATGACTGCACACAACTGGTGACTTTTGGAGCACATACAATTAACAATAACAAGAGTGTAAATGATGGTGATCATGAAGAAAGAACTGTGACAAATGACAAACAAGGTGAGGGGTGTCAATAAAGTTTGTGAAGCAAGATACTGGCATGCTATATGCAGTACAGACCCTAGAAGAGAAACTCAGTGCAACTGAAAGTGAAAGTGGAAATGCTGAAGTGCAGTGGAAGAATATAAAAGAATGCATGTTAGATACTATTAGCGAATTGGTTGGTAAAGTTGAAAAGATAGCAAGAAAACCATGGGTTACACAGGAGATGATGAGTAAAATGGAGGAGCGAAGGAAATGGAAGAATGTCAATAATGAAGAAGGCAGGAGGAAATACAGGAGACTGAGGAATGAATTGAAAAGAGTCACGGACAGGGCCAAAAAGGAATATCTTGAGAAGATATGTAATGAGATTATGGAATTTCAAAGGACAGGCCGTTATGATTTAATGTACATGAAGACAAAAGAACTAGGATGGAAAGAGAATCATGGGATTCAAAATCTTGACATCGAAGACTCCCAGGGGAATAGAATAGTAGATCAGAGAGAAGTGCTGAAAATTTGGGAAAATTATATTACAGAACTATATGATCGACCTAATCGGCCAGAAACCTTGAAAGTGGAACCGGAAGAAGAAGTAGATACAGACGAGAAAGCA